AGTGAAGTGAAAAATGAATTTCAGGCTAATGCCGCCAGTAGAAAGTGGATCACGTGAAAAGTTTGGAAACGTGAGAATAAAAATTCAAAAGAGGGTAATTTGTCCAAAAAAATTGTTTGCATTTTATTGATTCACATACTAATTACTACTGTACACGTATTGCAATGTTTGTGAGCTGTGTTTCGATCACCAAGTGGTCATTTTCAAGAGCAAGATTACATTAAAGAGACAAATAATATTATCCTCAATAATATTATCCTCAATTCAATCGATTTTACAATGTTGCCTTATGTACCAGTCTCAAATTAATTTTATAATGTGGCCTGATGTAATAATCAGGTGAATCTGATAATCAAAATATTACGTCAACAAGCTATATAGTATACTATTACGTATTGGTCCACCATCGTTATTCATTATATTATTATGTTTACTTATTTTTACACTCTCATAGGCATCTAGATGCCTGTTGTTGTTCAATTATCCAACCAATCTAACTTAACTAAAGTCTATGGGATGATTTGTTGCAAATTATGATGAGCGACGGCTAATTTTTCTGGTCTTCCGTATTTTAATAGTGCTAAGTGTTCCTTATATCTTATTTCAGTAGATCTATTAGTCCATCCATAATATTTTGCATCGCAGCCCCTGCATTTAATTTTGTGAATTCCATATGAAATTGATTCAAGATAGTTAAGATGCTGGTTCCTAGCAGAGGTATCTATGTTATAATTAAGGAAATTATTGTATGTGATTTAGTTTAATCTTCGTCTTGGGAAAAAATTCCAGGGATATTCATTACTACACCTAAGGTTCGAATCAGTGGATCACAAGTCCTCAACTTAATTGAGTACCTGAAATGTGTTTACCTGTGACAATGTGGATATGGTAATCTGAAAACATTTGAGTAAACTAGATCGATTGGACCTAGTCTAAAGGACATTCATGTTCAGCATACCGTTTTGAGAAATTTCAGCTACACTGTTCGAAATACTATTTTTATACCCGATACTCAAGCTTTCAAACTCCAGATTTCTCCATCTTGTCCACTTTATCTTTGGCATTAGGAAAGGAAATTTCAGCTACACTGTTCGAAATACTATTTTTATACCCGATACTCAAGCTTTCAAACTCCAGATTTCTACATCTCATCCACTTTATCTTTGGCATTAGACAGAAAATTGGATAACCTGGCAGTTGGCCTGAGTACCACTTCCACATTGTTTTTTTCTGGAACATTCCGCAATCGTCTCTGTTCTTTCACCAAAATATGTATATTGAATCATACGTGCTTTTGATGCTTTGTTTTTTGACTAACTCCACCATATAGTACCGTAATACCGGCTACATACATCAAGTTATAAGCAATACTAACATCTGGATGTATCTTCCATGAATGTCTGTCAGATATAATCCAATATTATCAGAATATACTGTGTAGGTATGTTGGAAAAGACGAATGTTTTGAAATTTCATTTCGATGTATTCATTTTCTTGTTCGTATATTTTATTGATGTTATCATGAATTGGTTGGAATGTAAAGATGTTATCTGTGAGTTCTCATCGAAAACACGCTCCAATTACTCTAAGATATGACAGAACAACTCATTATACATTTTTTTTCATGGGTTTACAAAAATCGGCGATGACATATGTCTATCTTTTGAGAATAGTGTACTAAAGTCATATCAATGTTTGGAATAATTGGCATCAACCAAGTAATTGATTTTTTTATCTCATGAGTCAATGTAAAAACCCCAAATATGACATGTTATAGCTTGATAATGAAAAATCACCCGATTTAAAAAAAAATAATGACAGCTTTTGTGATATGCTTTTCTGTTCATTAAATCACCATAGATTAAACCAATCACTCTGTTACTCATATAATGCGGTAATTAAAACGCAGATACGATATAATTCCTTATCAAATGAATACGTGCATTTCACGCACTTCATAATTACCTTTCACACCGTACAACTCAAGTGAAATATCAGTAGTTATCGCAATATCAAAAGTATCCTTCGAGAAAACCGAAAGGTTGCAATTGCATTGGACTGATAATACGTAGTGGATAATTTTGAAGGTTATGGTTGCATTTTGTGTCTTTGGTTGAATACGAATTTACCTACTACTAAAATTGGAATTGATATTGTGAATATACTTTTGTTTGGGTTAATTTGAATAAAAATCACTATTATTCGTAGCCGGGGTACCAGACTCCGCTTAGTGAGTTGATAAGAGATTGTATGGTATTCGTGTGGTATTTAAACAGGTCAAAATTGCTTTATATTTCTACCAATGGTTAAGGACCTACATGAACAGAATGACCTAAAATTATACAAAATATCCCACAGGATTCAAGAATGTTAGGGATGTTTCAGAACCTTTCAGACTATTCCCGAACATTTCTGAATATTCCAGAATGTTCCAGTGTGTTTTAGAATATTCGAAAATGTTTTCGAACACTCTCGAATGTTTTGGATCATTCTGGAACATTCTAGAGTGCAAATCTGCAAATCCTCATATCTTTAAAAGCACATTTCTCAGGTAAAAACGAAGGCCATCTTTACGGACAAGCTCATGTGAGTTGTAAATTAAGTTAAAAGGATACCTTTATATCCTACCTATAATATAAAATGATTTTTTTGACCACCAACGAAGAAATGAATATGAAATTGGATTTATTTTATTCTATAGGATCTCAGTGGTCTCCTGAGGCATGCCGCTAAAGAATGGCATGCTAAATGTCAAGTTATAACTGGCGTATCTGATGAAGAGATTTTCGGATTGAGAAGTGGTAATTTCGCAGTAGCGGAGAATACAAAAGTGAGTATGTTTTTGATAACTGATACATTGTATCTGCTTTTTTATTTCTACTGCAAAACAGTAGCTTTTCTACACAACATTTATATTTGAGTGACTGTATGTAAGTTTTGGAATAGTACCAGTAATTGCATGAAAACTGCTTTGTGAATTCCCAGGAGTGACATACTTTATACAGTAGGTAGAGGGGTCCAAAGTAAGTGGATCCATGAGCGTTACCTTGATACCAATCTTTCCATACCCATGTCTTCACATCAATCCATCGGTACTAATCTTTCCAAACCATAATCTCATCGTGCCCCAATCGGAAAGATCAATACCCTAAATCGGTACGACCAAATAGCCTTACATCCTTCCTGTTGAAAGAACTTGAGAGGATACTGGAGCGACACATCAGAAGGGTGGCATTGTATACTTGCCCCCTGAATAACCACCAGTATGCTTATCAAACCGGCAAATCGATAGATTTAGCATGGAAAACCATGTAGAGAAAATCGATCAATATCTTGACAACAAGGAGATTGTGATTGCTGTATTCCTCGATATTGAAGAAGCATTCGACAATGCACTACCTGAATCTAAAGAATCATCTCTGGCTAGGAAAGGTATAGAATTGACCATAACTGGCTGGTAAACAGAACTGCAATTACGACTCTTCAAGGCAAAACCTTTAGGTTCATAGTCATCAGGAGGTTCCTTCAAGGTGGCGTATTATCTCCCCTTCTGTGGCTGCTCCTGATGGATAGTCTGCTTGATTCCTCGACAGATGAAAATTAGATCTGGAAGCTTATGCAGATGACCATGTCATCTTGGCAAGGTCCACATTGGAAAGGGTAGCTTGTGGTATCCTTTGAAGCACGATGGACGTAGATCACAGTTGGTGCTGGAGGGAACAGATGTCTGTCAACCCCAGCAAAACTGTCATAGTCCCGTTCACCAGGAGGAGGAAATTGGACGATCTAATGTCACTTTCACTCAATGGTGAAGTCATTCCATTTGAAATGGAAGTGAAATATTTTGGCATTATCCTTGATGAAAAACTCACTTGGAACGCTCACACATCTAGGAACTTATGCGGCTGTATTTCAAGCGGAAATGTACGTTGTTGAATTGTGTGCTGAGAGATTTGAACGATCCAACCTCATACATAAGTCAATGAGAATATTTTTGGACAGTCAAGTGGCGTTGGGAGCTTTTGGCTCCTACCAAGCAACGTTTAAATGGGTATCAAATTGCCAAAAACGACTCTCCTCGATAGGAAGACTTAACAGATTGTCTCTGGTCTGGATTCCTCCCCATACTGGCCTGGAAGGCAATGAGGCTGCTGACCTCCTTGCAAATAATGATATTGCAAGCAACTTCATCGGTCCAGAATCTGGCCTGGATGGCAAGAAGATTTATGGACTTCTGGCAGAGGCAGAATCTTCCAGGATTGGCTTATTCCAAGGCATTCATTAACCCTTCGAAACTTGATACCAAACAGTTGTTGGACCACACACAGTAGGGATGAACTACAATGTCTAAAAGGTTTTTCTATGGGTCACTGTCATTTGAATCATCATATGCAGACTCTGACTGTCGTAAGACAGTGTGTGTCGCCTATATTCGGAAAATGATGAAACAGCAGAGCACATACTTTGTGCCTACCCCGCTGGGGACCGAATCAGGTATTTAGAGTTCGGCAGAACCGTACTATTACCATCTAACCTCATTTTTCTCAAGTGCTATGCCGGCTGCGAATGATTCTATGGAAGTAATTCCAAAAGAAGATAACAAACAAAAGTTTCATCTGCGATGAATAGTCGTTCAAATTTCAATGGCATTTGAACAAGAACTACTGAATGCTTTTTCATCGAATGAAATTCTACGTCGTTGGAATGAGTAAAACCTCACGATCTCTTTGAGTATGACGAAAAATGCAATGCTTCAAGTGATAAAACAGCCCTTTCCTTCCGAGTTTGGAATCATGTTGTGGAATGTTACTCCTGAAGCTTATTCGGGCAAGTTTTTCAAGCTTCCTGAAAATCTGCTAGTATGTTGAATTGATGCGAATTGGTGAAAAACCATACGTTAATGGAAACGATGTCTTATGTCTGTAGTCTGTAATATCTTGCCAAACAATGCCAGTGAAGCTCTGAAGGAGACATCTACCATTCGAACCTCACATGATTGAAGGAAAGCTAAATTTTCATGTGTGAAAATGACTATAATGGAAGGGCCTCCAGAGCTACGTTGTGAATATGTTCTTTCGGTCGACACCTCATATCGACCTTGACATATTTTGAATGAAAGAATAGTTTCATTGCTCAACGAATAGGGTTTTTCAATATGAGTAGCAATACTTTGTATAGGCATAAGGGTAAAACTATGCGTTGATCCTTCTTTAGCATCCAGACAACAATGACCTGTAAGTAGGCCCGTAAGACGACAAAGGTTATCACTGATATAGTCTAGAATTGGTTGGTAACATACTTCTTCTTGCAGTCCAGTTCAGTGTTTGTTTGACAGCGCCCTTCTATATGAGGAAGTCTAAGTGCCTAAATTGACAAGAATTCAAATCAGAGACGTTCCCTACGAAGTTGGGAGTTGCTTTATGAAAGTTAGGTTCTTCCAGACTAGGTAAGGTAAGGTAAGGTCCGAAGTGAGTGGGTCTATTCAACTCTCCACCGCAACCCGCTAGGGTTTATCGCAGCTCACACCTATTCACACGAAATGAACGAAAGGAACCTAGCTTCTTAACGAAGCCAATTCGTTTGTATGGTGAGTGGTCTTTCAGGCCAGATGGTGAAAATACGGCTTTGCCGAACTTTAAAAACATGATTCGGTCATCAGCGGGGAAGGCACAAAGTATGTACTCTGCTGCTCCATCATTTTCTAGATACACTGTCCTTCGACAGTCCGAGTCTCTGCATATGATGATTCAAATGACAGTGACCTGCAAGAAGGCCTGTTAGATATCGTAGTTCATCCCTACTGTCCGATAACTGCTTGGTATCAAGCTTCGAAGGGTGAATAAACGCCTTGGAGTAGGCCCAACCTGAAAGATTCTGCCAGAAGTCCATGAATCTTCTTGCCATCCAGGTGTTCAAAGTTTGTTTGGCAAAGCCTAAAGCTATGACAATGACAAGTTCTGGTCCGATAAAGCTGCTTGCAGCCCCCTCCTTTGCAAGGGAGTCAGCAGCTTCGTTGCCTTCCAGGCCAGTATGGCTAGAAATCCAGACCAGAGACAATCTGTTGGATTTTCTCATTGAGGAAATTTGGTACCAATTTAGACGTTGCTCGGTAGGAGCCAAGAGCTTCCAACGCCTCTTGAATGTCCGAGAATATTTTTATTGATTTATGTATGAGGTTAGATTCTGTCAATCTCTCCGCACACAATTCAATAGCATGAACTTCCGTTTGAAATACAGTCGCATAGGTTCCTAATCGGCTTGATATCTCTGTCTTGGATCGGCACTGGAAAACACCTGCACCAGAACCGAAAGTTGTTTTTGGTCCATCGGTGAACCGACAACTATCTGCTCTCAATATTTCCTTCCAGACTAGCATATATTCTCAGTGATTGATGTATGAGGTTCCCTGTACTGGATTTGAAACTTTAAACACCTATATCTGAAACTAAAGGGGTTTCTTCACATCTATGAATCGATAGTTATCTGCTCTTAGAATTTCCTCCTACAGTAGGATCCAATCCTCTATATTTACTATTAGATCTGTAGGAGTGAGTTTGTGTTTCACAGTTGGAGGTAATGAGCCGAAAATCATTTCCAAAGTTCTGTGACTCACAGTCTCCTAAAATTCGCATGAGCCTGTTTTGTGCAATTAGTAATATCCACAATTCTCAATGTTGCTTCCATTTCATTATTTAACGAGATCTATTCAAAAAATAAGTAAAATTTGATTTTTACGAACAAGATTCATTTATTCAACAATCTCTCTATATCAGCACGTTTCAAATTTGTAGTAGTGTACATCCGTTTTCTCTTCGCGAGCTCATGTTTTCATATTATTTTGAAGATGGAAATTATGTTTTTTGAAACGATCTGTCAGTTCAATGATTGTGTTCGACATTTGAGTAGGAATTTCGAATTAGTTGAATTCCCAAGGCTCATTTGCTAACAGTAGGTATAGTTTTGACATTGCCTCTTGAGTATTGGGTTTGAAGTGGGTAATGAATGGGGTGAACCGTGATCTATCTGAAGGTGAGGGGTATTCATCAAGTTTGCCTCCTTACCCAAAAAAGCGGTAACATAATTGACGCCTGAGTTATTTGCTCACTCACTCAGTATAATGACAAATCGAAAGTTTTTTCAGTTACCCTGTCCACGTTAAATTTTTTTTATTGCTGTTTCACTGTTTGGTATTAGATTTGACTGTTTCAAAAAGAGGCTAAACAAAATTCTATCTATTTGAAGTATCTTTATTCGTTTAGTAGATTCCTATTTTTGAAGTAGCAATCACTTGCTACAATGAAAATTCAGTAAATTCATTAATTGGTTGATTTTTTTACAGAGATACCACTTATGTATTTTCATCATGGCAAATGCGGTAAGTATAACAGCTGTTAGTTCTGAATGAGAACAGAAAAAATATGGAATGTTAGTAATTTACGTAAGAATTCCGGAAAATATTGTTATAATGAAATCACTACAAGGAAAATCTTTTTTGGTAAAAAATTCAAGGCATTTTGTTGAACTACTAGGGGCAATCAGAGTTACAGAGCAGAATCAACTAATCAATTTGGATGTGAAAATCCTCTACACCTCTACAAATCCTACAAAGGAAATTATCCGATGACGGGGACCTGAAAGATAGAACGATCTTACCAATACAAGTAAGCAAGATGAAGGACTGTCAATGGGATCGCCACTTTTACTGGCTAAAGCTAACATATATATGGAGTGGTTCGAAACTCTGGCCATTAAAGAAGCCCACAAGAAGATCCGAGTCTGGTTGAATTACGTTGACGGAACTCTCATAATATGGAACAATGGGAATACAGAACTAGATACCTTCCTGAAGCACATCAACAACGTAAGACTTTCCATCTCTTTCACAATTGAGAAGGAAGTCCAAAACGAGTTGCCATCATTAGACGTGTTGGTGAAGAGGACCGACACTGAATAGGAAACATCTGTATACCGAAATTCCACTGACACTGAACTTACTGTATCTGAACAAGAGATCCAACCACCATCAATCGTCTAAGAGAGGAATATTCAAAGCTCTGGTAGATCTCACTTTCGGGCTCTCCAGTACGAAGGAAGGTCTCGAGAAGAAATTAGGCATCATCAAAAATGACCTTCAACGGAATGGTTAGTCCAAAGTGATAGTGGAACAGACTTTGGCTAGAAGACAGCAAGAGCCTCACAAAGGAAAGAAGTCGCCACAACCAGTACTTGTACTTTCCTATATCAGAGGATTGTCGGAAAGGATATGAAGAATTGGGTCCAAATATAACATCAGAACCGTTTTTAGATCTGGGAACATTATCCGTAGCAGCTTCACAAAAATCAGGTCACCAAACGCGGACTGCGATTCCAAGAATTCCATTTACCGGATACCCTGCGAGTGCGGAGAATCCTACATCGGTGAAACAAAGAGGCCATTGAAAGTTCGCATTACCGAGCGCAAGAAATATACACAGCGAAGAGAAACCAGCAAATCAGGAATAGCAGAGCATGTTTGGACTCATCAGGATAACATCAAGTGGTCTCAAATTGAAATCATACACAAGGAGGAACACTGGTTTAAGAGAAAATTCAAAGAAGCCGCATATATGTTATTCAACAACGCATTTTGCCAAGCAAGCATAGAGATACCCAACATATGGAAAACTATAATCTAGCAGAAAACGGCCAACTCTCTGAAACCGATGAAGCGGAGGGAGGGAAGAGGGGATAGGTGGAAGCAGTCGAATGACCTGATAATAGTCAGCTTTTGGAGGAATGAGTTCCGTTATCACCCGAAAATTATTGTGGATTTCGACAACCGAAACGTCGTGAAGATACTTGGCTTGAAATCTTTTAGTAATTTTCAATTTTCATTTTTTGTTGATTTTTCAATTGTTCGATTTCAAATCATTTTATATCATATATTAGACAATGGATGTCCGAACTGATGGAATGCGAAATTATTGACAATTGAGTTATTTTATCATGATGAGTAAGAAAAAACAATAAAATAATAACCACACACACTCTTTTTTTTGGTATCAAGTCAGTGTGATATATATGTTATATTATCAGTATTTCGAAGTGTTTGCTAGTGATATTATTAGCTATTATCAACGATAGTTCATGATATTATAGCCGTAGATTCCATGTTCAGTAAAGTTGTTGTTTCTGCTATTTCAGATAACCCCAAAAATGGAATTTGTTGAAAGAATTTTCCGAAAATACATACCGGATAATACTATGGTGCGAAATTATAAACAATGTTTCCACGAATCCAAAAGAATGCGTGAGTATAATCTATGAGGCAATTTACAATAAGTTTGGCTGTTGAATTGTGTGAATATTTATAAGTTCACAAGCTAAAATTTGTTTATAGATGTTTCGTTCACATTTTTGTCATCTATCACTTGCGAAAATATTGAAATTCAATAATTTCTCTGGAGCCAAATATTGAAATTCAATAATTTCTCCGGAGCCAACCCAACCTTCGTAATGATGATGAACGAAATGGCATCAATGGGTACACAAAGCCCCGAGTACAATGAATTCAAATGAAAAACAATCAAGTAACTAATTTCATTGGATTCAAATATCATTTTATCGTGAGAATTTAAGCCTGAAACGCCTGAATATTTAATAGAGAAACACCTGTCGCAGTTTTGTAAATTTTCAAGTGACAGTCTCACAACAATCTATGATTCAAGAATCCTTTGAATTTCAATTTGAAAAATATGATGATGAGTGTCGTGAAAATTATGATTAATCACAGTGATTGAATGAAAGTTTCAAAATTGATCAAATTTCGATTCGAAAGTACTAATTTCTCAAGAATTTTCTCACTGATGTGTCCAGTTAATTGATCCATTGACAACTGTCAACTCATTTCATATATCAAATGACTTTATTGCATTATCGAGTTGCAGTTGCAAGATTTTTCCAGTTGAGAACTTTTCACAATGTAATGAATTCGTATCCTCTTGCCGTATCATTCGACAGTTTTCATTTCCTGAGACTGTCAATCCGATTAAAATGATTTTCCAGTCTTATAAACTACTCAAAATGAATAAAGAGACATGTCCGTAAAATGCAATAAGTGAAAAAATATGTATTATTTTGTGAAACATTTATATTTATGAAATAAATATTTATGAAATTTCCGTGATTCATTAGAGCTTCGGGTCTTAGACGATTATACACTGGTGGTCGCTAAGATACGCTTCCGGTTTAGAAATTGTTGTAGACCAAGTGGGATAGTTCTGATGTTTCCGCAGGATGGTACCAATGATTGATATTTCTATTGATTTCAGTCATAACCTGAATGGCGTTGCCAACACTATTATTTTTATCAGGCTATCGCAAAAAATCTCGTAAGTTGACGTTCGCACTGACACACGAACGGTAGTATCGAGCAAATTTGCATGAAAAAGCTATACTTATGAATCGCTACACCAGTGTATAGTTATCGCATTCCGGTCCCAATGAACACGTCCAGTGAAATTCTTCTTTATTTATTCTTGGCATAAATACCTACAATATAAATTGATGGATGTTGTCATTACTAGGTGGTAGAAAATCATTATGAAGAAAAGAGAAATGAAACTTTCAATAAGGACATTTTCAAAATCATACATTAATGTATGAGTTTGAAAATCTCCTTAAAGGACGAAACTGCAGTCACGTTAGTTATAAATAAAAGTGGTAAGTTTCATTTCTCTTGTCTTCAACTACAATATATTTTTTCAGAAACACAACCAGAGGAAATAATATTGGGAATGTTACACTGCATGTTTGCGAGAGATCCTGTGGTGAGTCACCATGTAATATGTTGTTCATAAATACGTTTCGAAGGGCTGAATTTCATTTTATCAGAATTAGAATACGTAAACTCGTTTCACTGTCATAAATTCTACAACATCATTGTGAAGAATTTAGAATTTTTCATTCGATTCCCTTGGTAAAATTGATTTCCAAATGATTTTAAATGAATATTGAACTCAATGATTATGATCTACCGTATTTGTTTCATTTTTCAGAAATTCCTGATACTCTAACGGATGATCCAAATTCAACACTGAGGTTTTTTGAATTGTTATGTATTGCTTTCTTGAATAAACGTTGCATATATATTCAGTTATTTCATTTCAGAAATGTGGGCATAATATACAGCGAGACTCACGGTCGATGGTAGGTTAGACGTTTCTGGAAAACGCAAAGCATGATTTTTCTGAAAATTCCACCTCTTATATTTCCTTACCTTTTCTATTGATCTAAAATATTTTCAGCACTGCGGCAGTGCCACTTTCATCAAAAAGTCCTAGCAACTTTATTTTTTTAAATGGAATACCTCATATATTAGTACATTTTTGGAATTGCTCTTCCAGAGATTATTCAAAATCTCTTCGATAGAAACACTTCAATTAGAACACCTACCAAAAAATCATTTAGGAAAGTTCACACATGCAGTTCGTGCTATTGGTAATATTAAATCCCTGTGAAGTTACTGACGATGACGAAGTAGTATTCAGTTCAACTGTAGAAAGTGCTTCATGACTAACCAATAATCCTCCTTAAAATAACGTGAGTTTGCGTATGTAGTTATAACATATGCCTTGTAATCCAAAGATCGTGTGTTCAAATCCCATGGACCCTATAATTTTTTTATTATCAGCAGTAATGTCATACAAAAAAATTTGTATGATACATTTGTTAAAAGTGATTTTATTTTGCTCGTGAGTTTGCTCCATTTGCTGACGCTCGTTTTGCAATAATCCCCACTCACAAAATAAAATGCCACTTTCAACACTTGCAGGTAAAACGTGAATAACTATTTTTCCATGGAAAGGGAGCCTGAAAATCAGCTACTAAGCCCAAGGTAGCAGGCGCGCAAAGGAGTGTTACAAATAAGGCAGCAGGCGCGTGTGTTAGTAAAAAAAATACTTTTTTCAAATCAAGAAATACATGTGACATGAGTTCGAATTATATCAAGGAGATTACGCACAGCGCCATCTGCCCGCGAATAGATCAAGCAATAATGTTAATATATCAAGGTGGTTACATACAACGCCATCTGCCCGCGAATATATCAAGCAATAATGTCGATAATTCTGTCAAAAAAGATCCCGAGCTTGAGAGTTACAAACAAACAAACATACATACATAGATACAGGTGAAGCTAATAAAAGCATGTTGAAAGAATGTGGGAATCTGTTAAAATAAGAAGGATTACCACATTTATTTGTATAGAGATGGAGAAGTAGAAAGCCAATATCTTTTTCAAAAGTAATATCTCCTGAAAATAACTCCTTTCAAGTTAGAAATATTCATCGATGGATGAAAATTTATTTTATTCCTTCCCGCGAGCAGAACTTCAAACCATTTTTTAAACATATTTCCGGATACACCTTTTTTGGTGATGATTCCTAAATATTTTGATAACTTGATTTGCTCCTGAAAGCATTTAATATATTATCTGTATACTGTACGAGCGAGACAATCGACTGTATGATCAAAGAGAACGATAGTTCAATGTGAATTTTTGATTAACACAGTTTGGTTCAGGACTTTTGTTCGAAAGTAACTGTGAAATTCTTTTGTATAAACATGGAAAACATGTGAATAATAGGCTGTATAGTAGGTTAATTTGCCCATTGCACGATTTCCTTTTATTGAATTAAGTTCAGCACACAAATTCGCGTTTACTCAACTTGTGCGGCACTAACGGCTTGAGGGATCGATATGAGAAAGCAATTTGGAAGAAATGCAAATGAAAACGGAAATTAAAGAACAATTAAGGAATTTGGAAAATATACATAGAAAAATGAAAACATTCATGTGAAATCAAGTAAACCACTGAAATTGAACGTGATCACATGACACATTATGAAGATGAGCTGCCTTGGAAGCTGATAGCTCAACAATTATATACTTGTGAGTATAATATTCGTGAGATGAGAGGCAGAGAGGAATTACGTGGTACTTTTCAGAATTTTCCATATAAATAGTATCCAGATGATGCTGAATCATTCATGTAACATATTTCTCAGATGAAATTCCAGAACAAGAGAAAGTATAAATAGCTAAGACATTTTTTTTTTCAAGGACAAAACACAAGCACTACAGAAATATTTCGAAGGTTCTCTAATAGTTGTGCCTGTGCGAAAGTAGCGATCCACGTCAGATTTGAATCGCTGGAAATCAAAGTCATTTGAAAAAACGTTCTCAGAAAGTGTATTTCACATAAACGCTGTTATTCGCTTTACAACTTTTTGAATCGTTGTATCTCAAAAACGGTGTTTCGTAGGGAAAGAAGTATTTATAAATTTTTTTTACATAATTTTATGATCTACAATTTTTGTCTGAAGTATTTCTATGATAAAACTCACCTGTTTTGCTGAATATCGCAAAAAACACATCTTTTTGACTTTTGACTTTGAATAAAATTTAATCCATACAGGGGAAAGATGGGAAACTTTCAAATTTTGTTTTTAATCATATTTTAAACAATTCAACTGATTTTCAGCTTGGTGGGAATTTAGGTAGCATCGAATGTCTAAATTGACCGGACTAATAACAGAAGTCGGTACAAATTTTTCAATTTGAAATTGAACACCCTTTATATTTTCACTTCGTATCAAAACTGCAACGTTCTTGAGGTATTCATTTGTATATTCAAAAAATTAAGAACGTTGGGGAGGAATTTGCAAGCACTCTTTACGTTAACGAGGGCTATTTTCAGTACAAAGTTAGTATTGCTTTGCTGACGACAGCACACTTGTCTCGTCATTCCATTTGGATTCCAGAACATCGACTGTAGATGCACATTTTCACAGGCAGCAGGCGGTTGCATATCTTAATGGGCAATTTGAGGTCATTTCGAATTGGGATGTAAGCAACCGGGTTCAATTAGACGCCAAGGAATCGATTTTCTTCTAAATAAAAATGTTTTCGAACCGAATATAATAATGTCAGGACAGACATTTCCGCTATCTGCTTCGATAAGTTTGTTGGGGGTTGGAATGGACGTAAATATATATTGGCATAATCATGTCGCTGAAATTGCGAAGGCTGCTTCTCACCTCATCAACTTTTGATTATTTATAAAGCCCAGATTAGACCTTCTTTAGAGTATTGTCCTAATGTATGAAGCTCGGCCTCTTAGCGTGCCCTGAAGCTGTTGGACTCCATCCTGAAAAGAGGCATCCACCTGATTGGAGACCCGAACATCATTGTAACCTTGATAGTCTGATAGATTTTTTCACGGGAGGTGTTCAAGTGACTTGGCACATTCGATTCCACCAGTACATAGTAATGATTATAAGCTAATATTCGAATTTCTAGAGGCCCATATAGTACTTATAGAGAACACGTATATATTTGGTGATTTCAATATACCCAGCCTAACAGGTTAGAACCCACCTTGGTATTTATGTAATAACCAAAAAGTAGTTAAGCCTAGGCTAGTCGATTATTGTTGGGGCTGGACGTGGGTAAGGAAAATATGTTTTTAACAGTCGAAATAGATGGAAAAAAAGTGAGCCCTGGGGCGCCAGTTGAATGGATTCAACAGGAAAGGGGTGGAGAAACAGCCAAAAAGTCAACAACGAAGCTCCAAGCTTGAACTTTATATTGAATTGATATATAGAAAGAAATATTTACACACTTCCCTATATACATCAAGTTTAAAGAATCAATACTAAAAACAAACGTTTCCAGAAAATATATTGATACGCCGCTATAGGCCGTTTTGATCACGATATTACTACTGGGGAACTCTTACCATGGAAAAATATTGAATCAAAATATTCGAGTATTGAACTGACACCGAGAGATCACTACATATATTGAAAGTGAGAGAACAAATGAGTAGTGAAAAGTATCTGTCTGAATCTTGATCTATCCAGAATCTACTTTTCGATTAACTACAATCAAACTCGATAATTATTAATTACCCCCGTCAACAGCTGTCTTAGGTGCACACTATCTTCTTATTTTAAGGAATGAATGTAGATTTCAGTAATTAGACCACTCCAAAATATATCAACAATATCTACTCACGGGGTATCGTCATTTTTGATATTTTTCATACTTGCTATGATTCTCCGTTGCTACTTTCTAGAATGTCTCCTCGTATGTCGAAGAACGACGGGTTTGATGCAACTGTAGCTTTTCCGAAGGATTTCTCCAAATATATATCAGATAAATATGCCTTGAAAGCTTTTTTTACCACCAAAAAAAGAATAAAAGGTCGGACAGTGCTCGACGTGAATCTTCCACAAGTGATCTTAGTATTCTTGTCCAAAAAACCTAAAACCATGTGTTATGGAGTTCTCTACCAATATTTCAAGGATAGGAAATGAAACTATTGAATTGACTGATTTGACTGACCTAAGATGTTTTTAGGTTTCGGACAGTCCCTAGCTAGAACCTTGCTTTCGTGTTGGCTTTACGATATATACTAATCTGAATCGTTTTTCAATCCTGACCGTGAAAATTTCCTTAGTTATATTTACTCCTGCTCACTAGACAACCCACCATCTCAGCAATATTCTGATAAAGTAAATAACCTACAGGTCTTATGTTTTGCCTTGGAAAAATCAATGGAGTATATCTTCGCTATAATCATAGAAGAATATTTCAATTGTTTTTATTCTCGATAACAGTTTATATGAAAAACTCATTGATGTGTTCTTCAACTCTTAATAGAAATGAGATGTCTCAAAAACAGTTTCTAAAGACTTTTCTGTTTAAAACTGGAAAAACTTTAAATTGTATTCAAGTTATATATTGTATGACATTCAGTAACTAATTCCCAACGAAGGATGGTATTAGCTTTGAGTCGTACGAAATCAATCCATTTATCAGAGTAGAATACTATTTTGGTATTTTTCTTTGTCGGTAATCATACTATGTTTCAATTATTTCAGTGAATGCTATAGTACGAGGTGGAAATCAACATCAACAAAACTGTGTATTAGTGAGCATGATTATAGATAGGAGATAATAATAATTTTTCTCTTTTTTTTCCAGAACACGCATCGAAAGGACTTTGAGAAAAGCTGAAGAATCATTCTTCGGTAAGTACTACTTTCAAATATGAAATTTTGTGATATCATCTTAGATAAGAATAAGTTTTTTCGTCGATCTCACCCAAATATCTCACTAAAAGCAATAGTGTCCATCTAATTCATCAGTTGTTTTGTCAGAGAGGTATATATATCTTCTAATCAATATTAGTAAAACCAACTATATGAATTCCAGAAACGGTACGGAAGCCCCACTAATTATCATTGTAGATAATTCCAAAATTTATGAAACATTTTCCTCGAAATTTTAAGGATTATGATAGATGAAGAATTGCGTTGGACTGATCAGGTGAAAGCAGTAATGGGTGAATTAACGTCAGCTTGTTGTGTCATGAGATACCTCAGGGATCACATAAGTATTAACAATATCAAAATCTTTTATTTCGCTTGTGTCCATATTTTGATATCATGCATCAACATCTGAGGATATATTCATCTATCAAAAAAAATCATAAGAACTATACTTATCCTGAAAAATGATACCTCTTGCAGACATATGTGATATTGTAATATTACATATTGTAATATCACATATATTACAATATTACATATTTGCAATATGGTAACAAGAGGGAGTAAACATCTATGGATTCCACTACATAGAACAAGTATATTCGAGAAAGGTCCATACTATAACTGTATGTAAATATATAATGAACTGCCTCCACATTTCAAAGAAATCAATACTATGAGTGTCTGACGAGTCATCCTGATTTCATCCAGGTTTGGAGACCAGCTCCCCTACCCTTTTGGCTGATCATTGGCTTTGAGAGGGACCAATGGGTACATAACTGATAGATGACGGCATGAAGTCCTTAGACATCAGTGCCGCCCTTCACGGGATACCCTTACCTGGCTGGGGTGGGATGGATGAAAAAGTTATACATCCTTTAACGAGGGACATGAGGGCCTCATTCGACAGAGTGTCGGGGCCTTCTATATCGGGAGGGGTCGTCTACAGCATAATCTGTGGCTTCCCTAACTAACGGGTTTTCATGAGTTTCCGTTTTTTCGAAAACTTTCTCATTCCTCGACTGAATGGACTGCCGAATGGAAGGCAGCTGCAAATCTCTGCGGATGGCTTCATTCCGCACGAACCAAGGAGCATTCACAATCATCCTAATTAGCTTATTTTGCAACCTTTCCAAAATGGAAATGTTGGACGGAGCCGCTTGTCCCCAGACGCCTGAAGCGTACATGATGACAGGCTTGAACATCGTGTT